TATGCACCCTTCCTGTCTATTGTTGATTTTTCTCCGGACGATCGAGATCAACTGATTTTAATTAGACGGTAATTAAATTGAACCGGACACGATAACGTTTACGAGCTTCTCTATTTCTATTTTCATGTCTAAATACTCTATCTCTGTTACAAGAGACTTTTTTATCTCTAAGTGCTAGGAGATTATGGCGTTTGGTTTAGAATTAATTAAATCGAATATCTATAATTGTTCTACTGTAAGATAGCAGAAATAATATGAGATTATTACTGAACGTCACCGGAATATATTTATAGTTAATTAAATTAAATTAAGAATCGTCAAATTATGTCTAGTTCTGTTTTTTTCATGTTTCTAACTTACATCAAATTGCACTTAAGAAAACAGCATATTTACAAACACATTACCTAAATAATTCTTATACATTACATTTGTTTCATTATCACTTTTTTCACTTATTAAATTCGTTATGAACGATACTGACCATAAAATTGAAAATGACATTAATTGCGGCGGATTGCATGTCTAAATTATATTTTATTTTTCGTCGTCCCTATCGATTTTTCGTCATGATTAGAGCGGCATAATTATCGTCCGGCGCACTTCATCGAGCGCTAATTGCGTCGAACAGGGTTTAATAACGTTCATCGATCATTCGACGCTCGGTACGTTTCCATAATGTCGCACGCGAAAATCGTTTCATCCCCTATATATTTTGTTATCGTTCCGTCGATTCTCGCGCGATGGAGTTTGACTCATTATCGCGTGGAATATCTAATTAAACGGTAATTAGATCGAACAAGCCTGTCCCCTGTGTTACATCCATAATCACGGTCCTTTTTCCTTTATTGACAATTACCTTTTTTTCTCTTTCACTTTAAAATTGTCATTTTGTCATGATCATTATTCGTTATTTAATAAAGTCCTGATTAAACCGGATTAATGGAACATCCGTTTACGCCTGTACATATTTTTATCCAAGTATTCTCCTTCTTTTTTCACAGATCAAATCAATTAATACCAATTATCTGTAACATTTTCCATTTGAATTCCGCTTTTTGAAATCGAGTAATTAAAATTAAGGGAGGGACTATGCAATTTTGATATCTCTTGTACGTTCATTAAAGTTCCAACATAATTTAACAATTAATATTGTAATTAACTAACGATCGAAGTATTAATGAACAAATTATATTTCGAAAGATTTTAGTTGATTTTCAACAATATTACTCGCATACCTCTTCGTGATATCTTTTGTATCGGATAATCGCATTCACAGGAACGATTAAGTTTTAATCGACGTATGAATTTCAGAATGAAAATTATGATATTTAACGGTGAATTAGATACGTTCGATGCAGACATTTAATTCCTAACGTTAGTACAATACTTAATCATCGAGCAAAGTGTGTTCCATCCGACAATATTAGTTAGTTATAGCGCAATCTCGTTACGGCTGCGAAATAATACGAGACGCTGGCACGGCTTGGGAAAACTCGTTTCCCGTTTCACGGTTCTTCTCGGTCTCCGTGTTCGTTTTTGCGTACGCCCGTTTAGTTGTGTTGGTGAAAGGAGCCAGGGAGCGTGATTTTGCCGCGTCGAAAGTCTGACGAGCATTAAATAGTTCACCGAGCAACTATACCTGGTGCTGCGCGAGCTGAAAGCGTCTGATCATTTTCTTGAGAGAGCCCGGTTTCAGACCCGGCCAAATTCCCGCTTACCGAATTTCTGCAAAATGGAAAACTGTTCGTTTCGTCCTAACCAACTGACTTTTCCCAGACTTTCGTTTTGGTTAATTTAGTATTGGGATACAGTTTCATGTAGCTTAATAATTTTCATGAATTTGATCACATAGGAGTAGGGAAACTATTTCATTGTTCTATTTTGTTGTTCTAATTTTTAATGTACAGGAGTTTTGGTTACCCTTATGAGAAAGAAATGATTTCCGACTTGCAAAATTGATAAAGATTGAGGATTATTTTTCCTTTTATTTCCGGTTCGATTTAATTTTAAATCGATACCGGAATTCAAGCGGGGTTCGATGGGATTTCGCTTTGAATGGAATGTGATAAATAAGTCAGTGTAAAAAGCTATAATGGTCTCTGTTTGCCGCTAAACGATGCTTAAAACTCTTGTTTGGTAATTCGATTTTCAGGTTTTTATCGTTACCGCAAATGAATCTATGCATTAGAAATGTGCACGCGTTGGTAATTTCCACGCTATTTGATCGTCGAATTTAAATAAAGTGTCGAGGGGATGAAAGGTGGGACTGTTGGAAATAAATAGAGGCGTATTTTATCCGTGTTTCAATGACAGTTCTTGTTCTATTTGAAGATGAATGACGTCGCTTGTGAATGGAATATGAAGCAATTGTGTGCTTACAGAATAATCGCCGCTTGTTTCAAGCATGTGTTGCCTTTCGAGAACCTCGTTTCTTTCCCAAAAGAACGGAACATTGTACATAAATTGAAAAACTGAGAACAGTCTCGGATTAATCATCAGCCCTGTGACTAATCTTATCTATCACAAACAATATACTTCATCGTAAACTACAATTAAGATTGCTCTCCAAAACGAATATCGTGCGAGCAACAGACTTTGAACTTATCGGGGAGATAAAAAAATAAATGGAGAACGGAGAGTGGGGATCGTAACTTTGGTAGGAAATTGCGATTTGCCGGGTAAATCGCGCGTCCTCTGCTCACTTTATTTCCCGCGACCGTTTTCCCGTTTTCCTCTCCCGCCGTCTGATTTTTCCTCTTTCATGTGGACTCTGAAATTTATGCGCCCCGCCGCGGTTGATAACAACGTTTGGCGTTATAATGCACGCGAGGAGGGAAACGCAAACCGCGTCGCGTCGCGCCAAGAGAACTAGTTTGAGCGTATCGTATCGATCCGACACGAATTCGCCTCGATTAAAATACCCCCTGGCACCTTGTACCCGCTAATTACCGTCCGATCAAATTAACCGGTTGGAAATAAGGGAACACGGGAAAAGAGGCGGTCTCTTACTTGTTGCTTCCAGGAGGATCCTTTCCTCCATGGGAGTCACCGTGAAATCGCCTATTTGCTATTTCGTAATCGCGTCGGTACTTCTCTATATTAGAACTTTCGTATATTCTAAGACGTGTATTACAAAATCACAAACTTTCACTTTTTGTAATTAAGATCATTCTGAAATTTTTACTGCATAATTGCATGGACAATAGATATACATTGACAAATCGTAACTTGCAATAGCTTTATTAATAAACGTAGCCTAAGGGATTGATGATATAAAAGGATTGATTATAAATTGTCAAAGATCGTACTTAATTTATTGAAAATTGAATTTCTGCAGCGATTATTGTGATCGAATTCGGAGGTGTTAATTATCTTATCGCGGGAGGAAAAGAGTCTCCATCGGCGTGGATGGAGATTAAACTCGGATTCAGAGAAGCGAGTCACGAACGAGAGAAAGGGTACGACGACCTTCGAAAAGGGTCAACGCACTCGGGCCGCGAAGCATAACGGAAGTGAGGCCACGGATTTCGACTAGAACGAACGCGGAGGCTCACGCGTGTGCGACTAATTTGCCTCTCCTTATCTTCTTCTCTTCCTTTTTTGTGAACGATTATCCTTTCAGAGCATAGGTTATCTGCGACGGAATTCATTAAAAATATTCCATATCATTTTCTCGTCCGTGCAGGGAATAAAATTCGGGGGACGTGTTAATGAATTGATAATAATGAGTGAACAGATAAGATCAATGTAAGTATGAATAAATCCTACGTGCAATTAAAAACTGACAGAATTTTAAAGAAGTCGAATTGTTCAACATCGACGATGATCTTAATTTACTGTATGAGAAAAATTCAAAATAGTTTAATGAATCCGAACAGTCACAAAAGCTTCACAGTGCAAATTATAGTACAATTGGAGTTTGAAAATTTCTTGATAAAACAGCATTCTATTTTATTTGACTTATCTTATCTGAAACCGTTTACTATCTGGGTGTAGTTTAATTTGAGAAGGTTCGAAGGGGGAAAAAATCGGTTTATCGCGACACGGGAGACGGCGTCCGGTCGACGGGAGAGATTGACCGGGCGAATGAAAACGGAGGGATTGGTGTATCGTCGGTTTGCGGTAGTGGCCAGGCCGGACTGACAATGAAATCGAGCCACCGTAAACGAACTAATTGCAGGCACAATAATTATTCCGCGGGCCAGAGTCCCGACGCGATGCGCCGCTGCGCCACGTTACGTTCTCCGCTCCTCTCCTCGTCTGTTCGCGGATTACGAATCGATCCTGGCTCCGTTGTTATTATCCGTCCCCCCGTTTCGTATTCCACTCTCCGTTTAGCTGCCCCCTCCTAGGTATTCGTGTTCGCGGATTGACGGACAGCGTCGAAGATTTCTCCTCTCTCTCTCTCTCTCTCTCTCTGTATCTGCCCATATACCTATTGACTCTTCTGGGATTTCGATTGCCGCACGCTCGATCAATTCCGGTTCTGATTGCGGCAGATATTTGATTCGTTCTGTTTAGGACTTTTTACCGACTCTCGTGTAAGAATATGCTATAAACTTTATTAAGCGCAACAAATTATTCCAAATACGACGTGTTCGTTGTTACGCGTCTGGGCGCTCGCAAGGAACTATTCTGCTTTTACTCGTCGCTTTCCCAACGTCCTTTTTAAGGGGTGGAAATACGCTGTGGCCTTATCGGCCTGGCCCAAACAATGTGGCCCGGGACTTGACCATCTGTTTTCTATCGGGCAGGCCTCTTCCTACGCCGTTAGTCTTTCGACTTCGCTTACATTCGTTTATGAACACAGTCATGCATTTTGCATTCATTCTATTAAGATTTGCTTTCTGAGTTTAAATTCCCATCATAAATTATTTTACAGACATTATATCTGCTGGGTTTGAAAAAAACATTTCGCGTGCCCCAACTTGATACGTGATATGATAGACATCACGAAATCGATTATTATTATTATTTATGAGATGATTTTTTACTTTTAGGGCGGTGACGGATCCGAGGGACGGTAGAAGAGTGGCCTTGAAGAAACTGCCGAACGTCTTTCAGAGCCTGGTGAGCAGTAAACGGGTCTTCAGGGAGCTGAAGATGCTCTGCTTCTTCAAACACGAAAACGTAAGTGTATTTGTTGTTTTATTGCTCGGCTGACACGTTCGGGAAATGATGCTTTTAAGAGGCTGTAAAACATGCCCACTTGCTTTTCGTTGGGACAACATTTGGTTAAATTTCATCGCTTTTCGCGATATTCCTTTGCAAACAGTGAATAAATGATGAAGTATAAATCGCAATTGCATATAAAAGGTTTTATTCATAAATGACATGATACGTAATTCGATATTTAATTACATTTATGCATACGCATTTCTTTTGTGTATACAATGAATCGCGAACGCTGACTGAATCTGAAATTTAAATCGTATGATAAAATAATACACATTTTCCTTAAATATTTATTAACGATAAAATAGCTTCTGGGATGAAGGCAATACTGCTTTACTACAATTTGCGCATCTTTTTTCTTTCCAGGTCCTTTCAGCCCTGGACATCCTTCAGCCACCGCATCTGGATTTCTTCCAAGAAATGTATGTTTTTCTATACATTATATATATATATATACACATATATAGTAGTTGAAACAGGTTTGTCTTTCGGAGAAATCCGAAAATGCGCTGATTCTTTTACGGCAAGTCCGGACGGTTTCCGGGATTTTCGTTTACCCACGAGGATCAGGTTTAACCATTCTTAATGGAGATAGAACAGAAAAGAATTTCTGATAAATACAAGATTTACAGATTATTCTTTCTCATTCGAATATTTTAAGAGAATAATATTTCGATAAAAGTTTTATTGTGTTTTTATAATAACGTCACCGGATGATTAGTTAGGTAGTGAAAATTGAACAAGAAATCTTTTATATAGCAAACGAAGTAATGAAAACGTACCAAAAATATAGAGAGTCGATCGGGTAACACGAATTCGATTAAGGATTCTTGTGTCATTTCAATTCAATCGCGATCGATTTTTCTCAACTGTTGCGCATGCAACATGCTCGTCTTTTAAACGACGCGCAAAGTTTTAATCGAGTCCGAACGTCAGCGCCTTGGCAGCCAGCAATTAAATCGCGGAAAGCGATTCAACGAGAACCTCGTTGATCCCGCGAGGTTGAAATGTTCCATTGGAATGATCGGCTTTTGGTAAACCAACATTTCTCGCTTCTCTCTGTCTCATTCCGTCCTTACGCTCTTGCTTAGGGATGAAACGTCTACCGTTCTTCTTGCACCGAAAAAGAATGAAACACTTTGCTGGTAAATAGTCGCGTTTGCATATTACTTCAAATTCGAGATTTAAATTCAAATTCGAAGTTTGTATTCAGCATTCGGATTGACGATTCAAATTCAAAATTGAAATTCACCATTCAGTTTTACGATTCAAAATTTTATATTCAACGTTCATATCGTCGATTCGTATTCAAAATTCAACGTTCAAATTTAAGATCTCAACATTTATGTCTTTATAAACAGAAATAGCTCTCCCTCATAAAGTAATTGAAATCATCAATTGAAATATTATATCTTTCTATAAGAAATATTCATTTTTCTTTCTTTTTGGTTTTACATAAAAATGAGAATTCTTATAATCTGCACCGAGTAGTGTGCCATCGAATGTCTTGACTATCGTGAATGCAGTATCTCACTGCTGGCCGTTGTATCTTTCGAGTCGATTTTTCGCCGCGTCCACCTTCGATCTTTGCGCCATGCGTGGGTGGTAACCGATGACGCGACGCGACGTGATGCAACACGACCTAACGCAACGCTGAACTCGCATAGAGAAATATGGAAAGGAAGCTTGGAAGGAAGAGAAGGCAAACAGGCTAACTTCTATGATTTACGATAAACAGGACACTCCAGGTTCAACTCCAGGTTCGGAATCAAGTGGAACTCTTAAGTTGAAACTCGAGGACTTTAGTAGACAGTATAGCTGTGCACGTAAACACTCTGGAAATCTGTTGTATTGTTTATACAATTTTAGTTATTCTTATAAATAGTTGGCATGAGTAATCGAGGTCCAAACGTCAAAACGGGGCAAGAACTAGGGATAGAATGAGCAGATAGAAACAGAAGCCAATATGAATGACAATGTTTTTCGTTAGATAGATTTAGGGTGTTTTTCACAAAGTTGACTCATTTCAATAATAATAGAGTTAGCTCGTCATACAACACGAGTCGAGGGAAACTGAGAAACTACTTTCACACCCCGAGTGATCACGACAAGCTCAATAGGAAACCCTATACAAATTCCTAGGCGTTATCCTAAGAGAAGTCTTTGTTCATAATTTACAATCGCACATAGAAAATCCATCGTGACCAATCGAACCAATATGTACCTATGGTAGAGAGGTAGTTCGTTCCCATCGAGGTTCGAACCTGTGAAACGCTTTCGAACAAGACCTGGCTTCGCTTCGAAAGCGTTAAAATCTCTTTCTCTCTATCCCTTTCGCCAGCGGCGAAACACAAATACAATGAGAAACACGGACACGCGGAATCAAAGTTCTCTCCTCGATTCCCTACGTTGAATCGGTTCGACAGACACGAGACTTGTTTTCGTGGGCGTGCGATACGAGCCTAATACGTCGGCCACATACGCACGATTTCCGTGTTCCAATTATAATATCTGGCCACGCCGCGTGAGATCGCGCACCTTATACCATACAGTCGACTCGGCGCGACGGAAAATCAGTTTCTATCTTTGTCCAACCGGGACCGATCCATCGGCCGTTCGTGTCTCCTTCTCGCTCCCCCATCATCGATCCCAGATTTATTTATAGAGAGGCTGTTTCGCGACGCGACGAGGTTTCCGCGTGCGCTGGATTCTGTCTGAATCTACTCGACAAGCTATTTCTGTCACGAGAATCGAATTTGAGGATGATTCCTTCCCTGAGTGGTTGCCGAAAATGTATAAGATTCTATGTTGAAGACAAATTTTAACCCTAGGCACTTTCTTCAATCCTCTTGCGAAATGACAGAAATAAAAAAATGACTACTATGTCGTCGATTTCTATGCAAAATAAAACGTTTGTGGTATCAATTTGAAAGACTTGATGACAATTTTTTTCATTGATTAATATATTTTTTATATTTCGTACAGTACAATAATTAGTTCCATAAAATGCAATGTACTATCATGCCGGTATTTCGAGAATCCGTCCGATGTAATCATAATTTGGCCGATGCAAAACACGAAACCAGTTGTGGAAACCTTCGCGATCCCATTAAACCACATATTTGAAACCGTAAAAAAATCCGTGACCACTGTTCACCCGCAGGAACTACCCCTGCAGCGTTATTCACCTCGGATCCGAATCACTCTGAGTATCACCGAATCCTCTCACCGTCGAACGATGATCGATCCGTTCATCGATCGCGTCTCACAGGAGGTGGTTGCATTATCAGTCGCAGCAGCAACAGTGTAAACGGACCAGACCAAACTGTGGGGGGTTGACGGAGCTCCGGTAATGGAACGATATCGAGCTATCAATAGCGATGCGGTGCGCGCATTAATAATCCATGATTGCTGTCGAGCAACTCGAAACGCGTTAAGGTGCGTTTGGACCAATGAACCAGTGTGTTGAGTAAATCATTCCAAAATTCATCTTTCAAATTCGGGTATAGTCGATAATTGACACATTTACTTGGTCAGTGGATAATCTGTAATAATAAAGTTCAAAACTGAAACATCGTGCAAAGTATATTTTCTGCCAGTTCTTCGAATCCAACTGCTTCAAGATCAATTAATTTATGAATGAATGCATTTAAGAGTCATAATTAGTATTCTTGTCCTCTGAATTTGCTCGAAACGCACCCTTATCGAATATCGTGAGTAAACTGCGCGGGTCGTCTGGTCGAAACGGAGGTGGCCGCCCCCGTTCGATGAAAGCGAGCTAATCGAGCGGGGTCCTTAATTAGGAATTAGGCGGCGGTTTCCACGGGAATCGCGACGCCCCAACTGCACCCGCGAGGGAACCCGCGTCGGTGTTCGGTTGCACTGGGTGGAACGTTGCGACTGATGACGCACGGGTAATGGAACCGAGGGGATGGATTGGTATTTTGATTGAAGGACCGGTGGTTTCAGACAGAATAATAGCGTTTCTGATAGTCGAGTATATTATTATTAGGTTGACGTATACTTCGTTCCCGTGAAGTAGTTCTTGGAGAATATCATATATTTGACTCGAATAATTTATCAGGTACTTCTGTGTTTTGCTAACCGTGTTTCAAAGTTTTGAATATAAATTCACTGTACAAAATCAACCAATTATAATATTATCAATTAAATTAAACTTGGAATAAATCTTGCTGAAATATAAATTATTTCTCACGTTTAATTTGATTCATAATAGTTGACAAAAAACACGACAAGCAGTGTTGCATATGCAACGATGTAATAAATCGAAGGTGCAGCCGAAAATAAAATATTTCTAGTTATGTGCAACATATTCTTGGAAAGGTACTTTCAGCAAATGGCAATCTTGATAATTTTGAAGACTAGGAACGCGTGAAATTTCTCTGAAATCGTCATCGCCTTCGCGAGCGTAGAACGCAAACATCGTTAAACTGACTGGAGAAGCCGCCAGCGTGAAATCACTAATTCATATTTGTCTTTCGCAAACGACCATCTTCCCAGATATGTATTCATCCAATCAAGCGCCGGTGCTTAATCAGATATTAGGCAGCGTCTTCTCCCTAGCGGGATGCGGTATCGAATTTTCGATTTATGTAGATGACATAGCGTCACGATAGAACCGATACGTGCCCTCCTCGCCACGGTTCGCCACCAACTCGTTTCTTTAATAATCTGCTGTTTTACATTATCGTCACAATATTGATCACTTGAGGTTTCACGCGAAAAATGATTTTTTATCTCAAATATTCAATATCTTCGACAGAAAATTGCATATGCACAATAAAAGTAATTAATTTAACTCGTATCTTCATATTCTACGTATCTCTTTTTGCTGCAATCTTCTCTAAGCTTGAATAGATTCATCGATTTCAAGTTTACAATCTCTCCGACCAATTAATGATCTTGAAACTCGAGAAACTTTCGGTAAGACATTCGTAGCTAAACTTCGACTACCGATTCGCCGTTTGCGACTAAAGCAACGAAGGATACTCCGATTGCGCCGATAACAACTGCATTAACCCGTAATCTCGTTAACGTATCGCCCTGCGAGACGGTGGTTAGTCTGGCTCTTTAATTAGAAATTAGACAGTCGGTTTCGGAAGCGAAGTTCCACTTTGCCTCCCGCGAACTTTGGGAGAGAGCTTTCGTTGAATTTTTCATGTAGATGAAATTAAAATCGATCCGCACTCCGTGTTCGAACTAACTTAGACGCCACATTTCCTTTCTCGATAAGAATACCATTAAGTTGTTGTTTCTTACATTTTACATTCTCGTCGAAAATCGTTTATTACGTTTTACCTAATTGTCCTCAATTACTAATCAAATTAAACACGAGATAATTTAATTATATGATATTCTACATAAATCTAATAGAAATATAAATACTTTGAAGACGAGGAAC